TACAAGTGATTGAGGTGGAAAAATGGAGAGATGTCTTTTAATTCTGATCATCTTTGAAACATTTTAGTTCACTTTAGTGGTGTCGTATGTGGTTTCTCTCTTTTGTATTTTTGACCACCCAGAGTCACATTATTGGAGTTGGGCACTATATAAAAGTTCTAAATAAATAATTTATAAGTTGTGCTTTGATTAGCAGCATTGTGGAGATCCAAAGTGGCACTAGGCTCTCCCAAGTGATAAAAGGGATCCTTTGTTCGTGGAATGAACGTTCAGCTAGTAAATGATAACACAGATTTTCAAGCTAGGGCAAAACTGGTACGTCATTGTGCCTTATTTCCTTCTAAAAGTATTATACCACTCTCAGCCTCACATTTAATTGCTTGTAATAATGATATTCTGAATCCAGTCTGTTCCGGGCTAAAAAAAACCTAATCCACAGGCTGCACCAACCAATTTGATGTAGTGGTTAGGACTTCAGGCTAGAAACTGAGACATTAGGAATTCTAGTCCTACCTTAGGCACAAAGCTAGATGATGACTTTGGGCCAGTCATTGTCTCATGGAAGGAAGGAGGGAATGGCAAACCACTTCCAAAATCTCACCAAGAAAAGTGCAGGGACTTTCTAGGCAGTCACCGAGAGTCGAGACTGACTTGAAGGCACCCATCCACTCATCCAGTACACCCATATATACTGTGTTTCCCCGAAAATAAGACAGGTTTGACCTTCAAAGTAAGTGCTTGGCTTTATTTTCGGGGAGGTCTTATTATTTTTGAGGTGCAGGAGGCAGCAAGCGTGGTCACCTTATGGCTGGTGCTGTGTTGCAATATTTTCGGGGAGAGCTTATTTTCGGGAGAGGGCTTATTTTAGCATATGTCTTCAAAAGTCCGATTGGGCTTATTATCCGGGAAGGTCTTATTTTCATTCATTCATTCATTTCCTTTATTTGTATGCCGCCCTTTTCCCTGGGGGGACTCAGGGCGGCTCACAATTCAAAAAGGGAGGGGAGGAAAGACAAACAGTATTCCAATATGGAAACAATACACCATATTAAAAGAGAGCACAACAGTCACACAATTCGGGTGGGGATGGAATCTTAACCCCAGNCACACAAAGGAGGTAATGTCTATAAGGGAGAAAGCCTTTTCTCTAGCAACCTGTCAAGTTACGGAATGCCCTGTTCCAGATAAACCAAACTGCTGCCACATGAACATTTCAACACTAGGTAAGGACCTTATTTTCCTTAATAATTTTGAAATAGTCCTTGATTTACAACAATTTGTTCAGTGACCAGAGTATAATGGCACTGAAAAAGTGACTTATAATTGTTCTTCACACTTACAACCATTGCAGCAGCCTCATGGTCACGTGGTCAAAATTTGGGCATTTGGCAACTGGCATGTATTTACGACAGCTGCAATATTCTGGGGGGGTCATGTGATCACAATTTTCAACTTTCACTAGGCTTCCAACAAGCAAAGTCAATGGGGAAGCCAGATTCATTTAACAATCACATGATTCACTTAATTGCAGTGATTCATTTAATAACTGGCAAAAAAGTCAAAATGGGACAAAGTTAACTTAACAAATTGCCTTGCTTAGGCTTAAAAAATCATATCATGTTCTTATAACACAACTCACTGTTACAAATATAAACAAGGAATAAGAATCTTTGTAAAATACAATATTAATACAAGATTGGTATTCTGACGACTTTTATTCCTATATCATTTGATTGACAAAACTTTAGTTCAACATTTATGGACCTTCCCCTTTGTCCTACAAGCCAGCAACTCTGGTACAATCTATCTTAGAAACATAGTAAACGTCATCAAAAAATCCCCAGTAGTCCTTTGAGTTTTGTTTGCTCTATTTATTTATTATTTTTAATTATTTGGATTATTTTTAATTTTTATCTTGCATTGCGTCTCCAGTTCCCAACGCAATAAGTTTATCAGTTTACAGTACACAATCCAACACTTGGCAAAAAAGTTTTCAGATTCACATAGACCTAATAGTGGAAAATCATTTGTCCCTTATTTTTTTGTCTTCTCACAGACAGAACTTCTCAACTATAAATTCTAGCTTTTTCCTCCACTCAACGAAAAACCTACTTCATTACCAAAGAATAATAAAAATAAAGCGGTTTAAAGCTAAACCTGCCTTTCTTTGGCTAGGAAGAGGCAATATTACGCCTTCATTACCCCCCCAAAAAGTAATTCTGCTACTTCTGGCTCTAATTTGTCCCTCTTAGATTCGCCTCGCTCAAGTCGATCTTGCCGGCCAGCAGAAGAAACTCAAAAGGGTCCAAAAATGATGACCTGCCTCCATTTCGCAGGGCTCAAATATATCGGGCGTTTTCTTTCCCCTCTCTGCCGTCCATTTAAATCCTCGACAAGCCGAAAAGCAGCCGCGCGGCTTCTTTATACAGCAAGCAACGGCAGCGACCCGTGACAGTCGTTTAAAACCGTCTCTGCTCTTCAAACGGCTTTTTTTCTGGCTGTGAAATTCGGTTGCTTTTGCGCGCAGACCAAAGGAAGTGCTTGGCATCTAGATAATCCAGCTGAGAGTGCTTGCAACCGGTGTGCGGTGGGAGCTGGAAGGGACCTCGGAGGCCTTCTAATCCAGCGCCCCTGCTCAAGCAGGAGAACCTACACCATTTCAGACGAAGTGGCAGTCCAGTCCCTTCTTAAAAACCTCCAGTGGTGAAATACCCTCAACTTTTGGTGGCAAGCCGTTCCGCCAGTTAATAGTCCTCACTGTTAGGAAGTTTATCCTTAATTCCAAATTGCTTCTCTCTTTTGATTAGCTTCCATCCCTTGTTTTTTGGTCTTGCCTTCTTGAACAAGGATTAGTAAGTAAGTAAGTAAGTAAGTAAGTAAGTAAGTAAGTATGTATGTATGTATGTGCTGCAGGTTTATATTTATGTAAGTATATAGCCATGTATTGTGTGTGTTATGTATGTGTTTGGGTAGACATACACTTTCTCTTGGGAGCAGACAACAGATTTTCATTTTTAATGCAGGCCCGGGTGCTCGCAGTAAAAAAAAAAAGACAATAAATTAAGTTATCTTATCATCCTCTGGGGCTTTATCTTCCGCCTTCGGCGATCCCACGATCTTCCTCAGGCCACTCGTTTCTCTCCCCATCCCTCCCAGGAATCTGGCAGCCGGTTCCCCAACTCGAAGCACGGCCGAAGGAAGAACCGCAACGCCGCCTCCCTTTCTTTTTCTCACGCCTCGGGATTCGCGGCCAAAACCTTTTCCTCTCGGGACGCGAGGCAGTTCGGGCCCTCCGCCTGCTAAGTCGACAGGCCGCCTCCAAGTGAAGCCCAGGCGTTTCCAGCGCGCTCCCCCCCTCCCCACCTCACTCCTCGCTCCCTCGTCCTTACCTTCTTCGACAACTGCTTTGCTCTGCGGAATAAGGCAAGAGGCGAGAACCGTCAGGAGCAGCGAACAAGGCAGGGTATCCCAGAAGTAGCG